CTTATTAATTTCATGCACAAGCGATATCGTTTACAATGTTTAACGTACGTAACTCTACCGTTTATTATATAAAATGTAATATTTAATTAGGACTATAAACGTATGATATTAAGCGTAAACTTATAACTATAAAAAATTTTTTATGTTCCTTTTGATAAGAAAAGATAATTGTTTGAAGCCGATATTGTAAAATTATGAAGCGACCGAAATTTGAAATTACAATGAAATATTCCTGCCTGGCAAAGCTCAATTATCTACTCAGTGGATCGATTATTCGTTTTGAGCTCCGATCAAACACGATCTCCTTAAATAAGAACATTTATTGTTTTTCACAAAATGCATGGCGCTGTAAATAATTAAACTTTTATTTTTCTTGCTAAGCTCGACCTTTAAACTATATATACATAACGAATTTTATAATAAATTATAAAATTATTTACAGCTCAATATTATTTTCGATTCAATACTATTTCTAAAATAGAAAACACAAATATATTAAACAATTATTCTTGTACGCCGTCTATAATTTATTTGCCCTAAAATAATCTTATTGATTTTTTGTGCTTCGTTATTATCGTGAATTTAAAATATGTTTATAAAATTAAAGTTCAATTATTTTTATTTTACGTAAAATAATTTTATTAATGCGACCTATGAATTTAAATAGTACAAAAATTTATACAAAAGTTTTAACCCTGAAAAACTAATGAAACTATGTTTGGATTTAAACAATTAAATTATCGAAAAAAACAATTGTAAAAATGTTTCATAAATGCATAAATAACTTGAAATTAAAATTTCTAATTACTCGAAGAAATTACAAATAATGAACAATATTTGCATTGAATTATTAAGTAAAAATTTTTCCTACACAAAAGTGTATATTTGTAGTAATCTTAATTGTCTTATTAATTTTTTTTCTTAATTAAAAGTCGTAAAAAAAAAAAATTTTTTTTTTTTTTATTACAGGGCAGATATGTAAAAAAATATATTAAAGGCGCACGACAATGAATCATTACCGAATAATAATAATTTCGAATAGACAATGTGCAATTAAGACAAATGAATCAGAATATTCTTTTGAAACTTTTTAATAGTAAGTGACCTTATTAGTTTTATTCTTTTAAATTTAATGATTCTTTCATATGCACTTGTACACTTATATTAAATTTTTAAAAGTAAATCAATACTTTCAAATGTAATTTTTTCAAATTATATTATTTTTACAGATAATCAATTTATTCTTATCGACGGTGTTATATTATTATAAATTAAATTTTCGTCAATATCACTTGTTTCAATTTAAATAGCGACATTACTTTTAAACGTAAATATTTAGATTGTTTCATCATCTTCTATAATGTTTTGTAAAAAAAAACGAGGATATATTATATAATTGATCAGATTAATTTTAATATAAGAAAAATGAAAATCAACGTTATTAAAGCGTTAGATTTATAATTCAGAATAATCAATTTAAATACTTCTAATTGGCTAATATTGTGTACTAAGAGTATGTGCATAATTATATGTAGTCTTATTATTACATAAATAGAACGTTAGAATATAAATTAATACAAGTAAAATAAATAATTTCCATTTTATAAAACAATATTTAAACAAAAATATGCTAAAATATTAGGCCTATATTTATATTTTATTAATTATAAGTATGAAACATCATGTTACATTTATTGCTTCTTCATTATCTTCAACAAATAAATATCGATCAACTTATGACTCTTAAGCGTGACTTTTATTAATTAACCTAATGCTGAATATTTTGATACTTACTACATTAGTGCGTGTTAAATATGTAGGGTAAACTAGATATCTTTGTCACATACATACTATATATGTTAATTTTTTTTAGCTTTATTTATCTATCATTGATATATCCTTTAAATCGTATAAATAATTAAAAATTATTTCGAGCCATATATTTTTGTTTTTGTACCAATTTCAGTTCTTTATAAATATATATTTGGTGTAAAAATTGAATAGTGATTGCTAAGGTAATTTAAAAAGAAATGAATATATCACGTGTATTATTACCAAATGCAATCTGAAGTGCTGAAACAAATATGAGAAAAAGTCAATGTATAAGGTGTAACGAAACCATGCGAGAATAATTGTGATTTTAAAATATATTTTATAAAAGTGACGTATACGCATTCGTGAATGTAAAGAAAGTGTAAAATTTATATCCCAGAATCATTTAAAACTTGAAATTCCTATGTTTTTTATTTATTAAATTAATCGTTCATAAAGTTCTGTAGAATGTTAATAATTTTTATTAATAGTATAATGAAACATTCTTATACGAAAACATTTATTTTAGAAATAATTATCAAGCATACATAAATAATATATAATTTTTCACAAAATTTAATTTCATAGAGTAACTTAACTTTTATTTCAATAAGAGACAGAAATTTAATAAAAAAAATTTTGTTTATACTATGAAAGCTACATGTAATAGTCACATATAATTTTAATGTTTAATAAAGTTACACTGTTATTCAAGTGGGCTATACATAAAAAAAATATAACATTATACAGAAATTATATCACGGTAAAAATCTTTTATTTTATTTGTGAAATTAATAATAATTGAGGAAAATATTACAGCAACAAGTTCATTTACTTGATTAAATAGACTAATTGGTATAGTCTCAAATAAATAATTAACTTTATTAAAAAATTCTTTAGTATAATTAATTATTTACAGGATCTATCAATCATTATATTAATTTATTATTTAAATGTAGTAACGATGAATAAATTATAATATACAGGGACAGTATGCCTTGTTTACAATTTTTTATAGAAAGATTTATTTTTAAATTTAAAATAATATGATTGCTAGGGGGCAATTGATAATATCTACATTAAATTTAGACAATTATTATATGCTATTAGAAAATTAATTCATGCTGTTATAAATAAAGATATGTATAGAAATTTATAATTGATCGATTATTAGACAATCATAAAGATTTTTCAATTAATATATTACTGTTCTTCGTATATATACATGTAGAATTTAATTATCCGTTTCCTTTATTATTTATAGGGCAATGTTTTAATAGACAATTTGAATTTCAAAAAAAATCTTGAAAAAATGTTTAACAAAAATATCATTTACCGTAGATATAGAAAATATTATTCCATATCAATTTTGGTTATTTATATTTTTTATCTGTTGTAATTGTAATTATTGTAATTATATATATATATACATAATTTTAATTAATAATCAATTAGATAATTCCACAATATTTAGTTTTGCCAAATACAGCAGTAATGGAACAGATTTTGTCTACGAAAATGAAAAAGATAGTAAAACTAATTAATATTTTTATTCCGTAATAAACTATAAAAATTAAGTCAACGTATGTTCAATTCTTCCTAACCTATAAACTGAATTTATCACAAAAGATTTCGAAGAATAATGATCCGCCTGAAATTTATTGAGTTACCCGTACGAGAATAATCTACACTCGACTAGTGAGATAATCAGTAACGTTGCCACTTTATTTTATATATAGAATATAATAATAAAATGATTAGCACACATGTATATTTATTTTACTTACTACATAACTTAACTAACACATAACTTATTTTAATAAGTCACTATAATGTGGATATTTATTGGCGTTATTTTTTAATTTTTTTATAATGATTTTTAAGTCGTTAAAATATGAATTTAGATTATATTATTATTTAATTCCAATTAAGTATAGGATATATCGCAGAATTAATATTATCGAATGGTTGAAAATATTGTATTATTATGTTCGTATTAAAAATTAATTGAAATTCCAATTTACGATTGGTAACGCACTAATTATTTTATAATATTTTTAAAAACAATTATATTCTATTGATAAGAGGATTTATATTAGCAGTTCGAGTGAAACAGCTTTTATCAGATAAGAGTTCATTGTTATTCAAATTTACTAGCTTTTTACAGATTTATAAGAAGATTTGGGTATCAAGTTTTTCTTTCACAATTTTATATATTTACATTAATAATATCGAGAGCAAAAGTCTAAGCATAATATTGTATTGATAATAATAGTAGCTAATTGCTAAGGATATTATTTTAAAGAAAAAATATTATAAATTTTCTTGTTTGCTTGTATCAATCGAACAAATGTGTATGGTAATATTCTGAAAAGTTTGTAGTTATATATCATAAATCTTGATCCTTTCACTGAAATGGATTCAATTTTTTTTTTTTTTTTTTTTTTTTGTAAGCATTCGTAGTGAGTAGCGTAGACGAGAGGTCGAGGAAAATTTCACTTTCTAGCAGCAATAATGCATAGTTTGGAACATCTTGCAAACAGATGTAATTATCGTTATATAGTTATTCCTATTACTCCATGAAATCGGAAAAGCAGCATAGCAACTCGAGACACCGCTATCGTATTAACAGAAAGAATAAACTGTAGCGTGAAAGCGAAGAAGTACACACGCGAAAGAGTGGGCGAGCAGCGCTGGGACGGGAGGTGGGACGGAGATAGAAGCAAAAGTGGTTGTTAAAGGAATAAGAGACTGCGCTAATGCACTTAATTAAGTCAAGGTAGTGATATGCACGTGTCTCGTGCATTAACGAGTTCTTTCATAACTGTGCCTGAGCTTGAGATACATAGTATGGCGTATGTGTGTTTCCATAGTTCACTTCTCTCGATATTCGACGAGCGCGAGGGAAGGCATCGATTTTCCATACACATCTACGAGAGCCCGCCAGTAGTGGCGGAGGTTCGTTCAGCGCATAAGGCAATCTAGATTAATTGAATTTCCTCGGGGGAAATTTCGAGCCCCTCCCGCCTCTCCTCGTTCACTCTTTTTCGCCTCGATCCTCGAGCCCCTTCATTGGCCGAGCTCGTCGAGAGCGAGCGGCACGCAACGATGCAGCGAGCGCCGTAGCGCACGAAATGGCGAACCTTTTAACCGGATCGAACACGGTCTTCTCTTTTTCTGTCTCACAGGTTGGTAGCGCAAGAGGCGGCGGCTCAAAGGGACTCCGGGTACACGAGTCAGTACAGGAGAAGGAAGAGGTGGACCGGGCAAAGTGGTCTCGGTGACTGGGCTGGCGCTGGAGGGGAGGTACGTGCGACATCGAACAAGCTAATGATGAGAAGCGACGGACACAATGTGATGACACCCCTTGATGCCTGGCATACCCTTCGCACCCTTCCCCCGTCACGACAGTTTCAATAGTAAAGGCGGACATTTTTACGGCGACTGAACTCCATTGATTCCATGGGACTTGGCCTTTAAGCGCCGGCAATGGCTCATACACGAATAAGCCACTCTGCTATAGTCATCGCACTCTTTCTTAAATGACGTTCTAATCTTATTTAACCAATAGCCAATGCCAATACGTTGGATCGCGCTTCTCTTTCCAATGGAAACCCGACTCACGCCTATTTAAATGACAATAAACAAAGTCCAATGGGCTGTTTTAATAAAAAAATTATATCGTGGTCGTGTACAGGTAAAAAGTATCGGGATCGCGGTGTCTTATAAATGATTTCATCGTCTCCTTTACAATTTGTTTCTATTTTATAAATTTTTTCCCTTCAATTTTCAATCCTGATCGGTTACTATATATTTCAAGGACAAAGGTGTCAAAAAAAATAATTTCGTAAATAAAATAATTACATCAAGCCTATGTCGACAGTTTAGTCTCTCTGCTTTATTTACCGATTATTTATTATCCAATTAATAAATTTGATTAATTGTAGCAAAAAACAATATACGTCAGCCATTATAGATAAAAGTAATAATTTTCGGTGCAATAACATGTTTGGTAATACGTGGCTGAATAATGTCGATGCAAATGTTGGATAAATGATGCGATATCTATTGCCATTTTCAATTCTATAAATAAAGTCAGCTGTTTCCCTATTTTTATAAGCGAAAATTATTCATTTGTGCTTAAATGCTTCGCTTTGATTCACATAAGCCATTATTTGCTTGTAGTCGATATAATTTTTTGAAACATATTAAATGTTCTCAAATTAAATTAAACTTACAATCGAATTGCAAATTGCCAAATAAATTAAAACAATTAAAAGTACTATTAAAACAAGAAACTATTTCAGATCTCATTTTCGCTTAAACCTTAACAATGACTTTTATTTACTTTTTTAATTTAATTTCGAATAATCAAGCATTGTAATGAAATAAAAAAATAGCTATAGCATATTTCAAACATTTTCTAAACATTTTATTGTAAATTTCACACCTTTTTAATTATTAATATTTGCATTTGAATACTATTCTTTGTTAAAAACATTTTTTTTTTTTTTTTGTTTTTGTTTTTTTTTTTTTAATTAAGTAATATATTACACCTAAAAAAAAGATATATATTTATACATAAAAATATATAAATTGTTGTCCGTATGAGAAAGTGCTTTCTATATCTTAATAGAATCCTTTCCCCTTATAGAAAATTTTTTGTTCTTTTAAATATTTGCTAGAACTATATGCTCATAGCCCTTCAATTATATGGATATTTCAAAAATAATTATGTCAATTTTCTATAATTATTTAGTTATTCGTGATAAGCTTAATAATAATTTTCCAGCTTTAAAATTAAAAATGTAAAATGTAAAGAAAAAAAAATGTAAATTAAATAAAATGATTATATAATCGTTGGAATTTCAAATAATTTTATTTAAAATATTAACAATACCAATGAATAAGACTGAGTAGTAATTAAATAAGTTTCATATAAATGTGTATTTTACCAAATATTTAGACAATAATTCTTTAAATGAAAAAAATATTTATCGATTTATCAGAAATTAGTTTACATAATAATAATAGAAATGAGAATTAATTATTATTATTATTCTTTTATGTCATTAAAACATTTATAACATTATTTTGAGAAGTATTTTACATTAATTATATAATAAGTAAATTGTTTGTCTTTTATTAAAAAATTATATTCTAGTTGAATCTGTCAATATTAAAACTAATTAAATTTCTATAAATTATATATTTAATATTTTCATGTAAATTATATCATCTTTTTATTTGATTGCGATCGGATAATTGTTTATTATTTTATAAGCAAAATGTATCATTAGTCAAATAAATAGTATTTTAATAATAGTTTAACGCAGTTTATTAATTAATTTTTATATGAATTTCGTTTTATATGAATGATATTTTATGAATTACATAAAATGATTGAAATGATACAAAAGCCATATAAATTAATATATCATCCAAGTTAATATTATAAATTACATTATAAATATATTTACGTAAATTCATGTAATGATAACGTTTTCCTTCTCTCGTGTCCCATCACACTGAAAAATCGATAGGAATGAATAATATAATATGAAAACTTTGGTTTTTAACGTAAATAAAAACATAATAATATGTATATTATATTGAAAATGCAATAAGTGTTTATTGAAATAGTTGGATGTTAAGTATAATCGATTTTTTTATTCGGAATTATTCAGTAATTTCTTAAATTATGTATAGTTAAAATATTTAAAAACTCATTATTAATAAGGAATTCAATTTAAAATATTAATAGACGTTTGTCTACATCGATTATACAGTATTTGAATTCTTTAAGTATATTTATTAAAAAATAATAGAATTAAAATTTTCATTTAATCTTATGAATAATAATAAAAAATGAATGACTTAACTTTCATAGTATTAAGTATTAAATAATTTTGTTTATTGTCAATTTTCGTATGTTTGTAAATATTAGTTTTCAAAATAACAGATAATTTAAATCGAGGCTTTAAATTATATTTCCATTTATATAATCCGTTAAAAGTTTATGGTTGCAAAATAGATGAGAATAGGCTACTCTTGACAATGTAATTGAAAAATCTAAGGGATTTTCGAATTTTCGAAAAAGAAATTTTAAATTATTGTAAAAGGCTTTTGTCAGCTAAAGGCTAAAATTACACAAATACATCATATTCTATTGAAATTTTACTTTTATTTAATCAAGTACATTATTTTCCATATCAATTGGGATATATCTTATTAGAAATCAAATATACATTTATATGAAAACTTTAAATAGTTGCACTTTTGTAGTATGCAATCACAATTAGTAATAATTTTCCGATCTGATAAAGCAATTCTTCAATTTTACGATAGAATTATCGTACATTCAATGTAAGTAGAGCTGCGATATAATACAATTCGAATATAATTAGATAAGCATGGCTAGCTGTCTTGTACTGATTATTTGGAAATTAATTGATTTTATTGAGGTTGGAAAATGCATTGTTATTTTCCATCAAATATGCCCTAAATTGCTTATTGATGCATGAATTCTTCGTATTGTATACATTAATTAAAAATGTTTATTAATTTATTTAAGTTAATTATGCAGTCAGCATTAAATGCACGATAATTTACTATTATTATTGCATCGATTATACAAAATGTAATTTAAAGAAAAAGGCATTTCAATCGGTTATATTGATCTCTCTCGAACTACATATAAATCAAAGTTATTGGGCTTTTTTATTACGGCATTTGGTTGAACTCAAGGGAAAGTATGAAAGAATCGTTTAATGGAGTTTGAAGTGAGCATGGAAAATATATCTGTTCCAAAGTTAAATAAGTATGAGCAAAAAGGAAACTAAGTTACTATTGAATGACGTAATATAGGTATTAGGTATAGAGGGGATGGCACCAGGTCGAGATCAGGGCGGAGGGACAGGGGATGGAGGTGGAAAGGGCCCCTCCTCCCTGTTCATACTGAGCGAGGATAACTGCATTCGGAAGCACACGCGTTTTATTATCGAGTGGCCACCCTTCGAGTACGCCGTCCTCCTGACCATCATCGCCAACTGCGTTGTACTTGCACTGGAGGAACATCTACCATGCCAAGACAAGACGACCCTCGCCAAGAAGCTCGAGACAACCGAGATCTACTTCCTCGGCATATTCTGCGTCGAGGCGAGCCTCAAAATCTTGGCTCTCGGCTTCGTCCTCCATCGCGGCTCCTACCTTCGCAACATCTGGAATATCATGGATTTCTTCGTCGTTGTCACAGGGTGAGTTCAATAACCTTGCCTGTACACGTTATTTTCTTCTTAAAATTAGTTCTTACACGCGTTGGGTAGGGAAGGCCTTTGCTTAGGTCCATTCCCATCGATCGGCGATCAAATGAATTTTGTCGATTGGTTTATCCTCGAGAATCTTCAGTCCATTTAATCTAAAGAATCCATCTAAAGTGGAGGATTAATTAAGAAATCACGACCTTCAAATTAACGTGTATATTCTATGTTGCGATATTTTCAAAAGAATATATGACTACAAAGTGCCACTTGTTAGCTCTTCAAATTTATCATGATATAATGTAATTTGTAACTAACTCTTTTATCTTCATTATCATTATCACTTATTCATGTCGCTTATGTTGAACATTTAATAGTCGAGCAAAACTGTAATATTCAATTTTTAAATTATTCACTAGTCATATTTTTATTATTCTTATATTTTAAACATTTTTATGACTTACGTCAGTTACAGTTTCGAATACATAATTCACATGCTATAATATTAAAATTATATTCGCCTTTTATATATTAATTAAAAGTAAGAAATGTTTAATGATTTTTTCTAAAAATAATGTTCCAAATAAATTCTAATAACTTAATTATTAAGGATTATTCGACGTTCAAATTTACCGTATTACGTGTAAAATAATAAATAAATAAACAAATTATATGTAGAATCAAATAATTTATTTAATTTGAATAAATGTATGATAATAAATTTCAGTATCTTGCACTTTCAACCTTAAACTTGGAGAATTATAATTTTAGGGTGCAAATGTTAATTATCGCTTTTTCATAATTAATATAGGACTTCTTCATCATACATTCATTTATGAGCATCACTTTTCTCTTTCAGTTCATTCAGTTCATGCACTTTTAATAAATCCCTTGAAATTTATACCAAAGCCTGAAGAAATACATGTCTTATTACACAAGACCAAGCTTTAAAATTTTTAAACTTATACTTGATTGTCTAGATATGCGCGCATATTGTATCACTCATACAATACTATAATTTCCCAATTTTCATTCTGTCAATATTACTTTTATTTGTTGATGTATTCTTTTTTTTTTGTTTTTTTTTTGTTTTTTTTGTTTTTTGTTTAATGCACAAGCATATAAAATACTACGATAGTACGATTAATTGACAATGTATTTTAATAACAATGAAGAAATTTTTTAGGGTAGCATCTATAGCAATATCGAGGCAAATATTCTGATGATTTTCATAGGATAAAGTTTTCCTTCGAATATATATTGTTGTTATCCGACAGTATTTTATTAGTGGTACAATACACGCATGCATAGCTCAAATCGTCCAAAGGGTCGTGTCTTAAAACACGTAGAAATAAAAGAGACAAGTAAACGTGAAGCCGAGAAAAAGTTCACAGGCCGTTGCGATGGCAACGATAGTCTTCGAAATTCGATATACTCGAATTCATTGGACATTCCTCAAATTCAATTAATATCGAATTTGAATAATAATAATAATAATGAGAGCTTGTAAAGTGAGAGCGGGAAACACGATTGGTGAACTTATTCTCGGCCAGCCGTGAAAAACGTATCTCGAGGAGAAAAACGAAGAATGACGGTAAAATCAAGATGTAATTTGAGGAATGAAATATTAGGTCGATGACTGTGTTCGCCGAAACAAACGTGGACGTCGACCTCCGTATGCTACGATCCTTCAGAGTTCTCAGACCGCTAAAGCTGGTTTCGAAAATTCCAAGTGAGTCAAAGCTCTGTGACTTCTTCCAAAGCTCTATATATTTACATCTGTAACAAAAGCTCCTTCGACGTAATTTACGTTGTACATTTGGCTCCTACATTTCTCGTTTTCTCATTATCTATATATGCTGTACTGAGAAACTTGTTTGGCTAGTTTAAAACTTGAATTAGTTGCGTCTATTTAGAGACTTTTAGATATTATGTAAGTTTACTCGTGAAATTATGGTGTAAAATAGGATTTAGGCGATTTATAGTATCTTTTTTAAAGGTCTTGAAAAACTTCATCATTTCGTTTATATCACGTAAATATAATTTCACTGCTAAAATTGTGCTGCAATGAAATTTTCAAGGCCTTACGTTCAATGTTCTATTAGAGAACTCTCAAATAATAATAATAATAATAAATAATAATAATAATAATAATAATAATAATAATAATATGTGTTTAGTTAATTTCACTATAGTTTCAAGGATCATTTTTACTTCTTTATATGAATTAAATTTGTGGTTGTTGCTTTGCTAATGAAACTTCATAATAAGAGCAATTTACAATATTCCATAATTTATTATCGGAAAAGAAATTTAAATAATTGTAATAAGTATTTATAGATATATAATTCTCTTAGTAAACATTAAGTATAAATCTAATATTATAAAAAGTATTCATTTAATGTTTCTTGAAATTGAAATATTTTCTTCAATTAAAATTGTATGGGTAAAAAAAATCATAATAAAATTTAAATAAACGTAAATAAAATTTCAAAAAAAAAAAAATTTCTAATTACATTGAAAAACATTCATTATTAAATGAAAAAATCTTTTAATGTAATACAACTCCAATAATTTATAGATATATGGTAGTCGTAATGTAAGTTAGGATAAATAATATTTTAGATTTATACTTGTATTATATGAAATTTTTTTAGTTAAAGTATTCATTCATGCGTATTTTTTAGAGGAAAGAATTTTATAGAAAACGCAATGATATAGTAATGAAAATAATGACTCACTCAAGAGATACAAAAGCAATAATATTTAATATTGACTTCAAATAATTAAATAAAAGTTTGAATAATTTGATATTTCCATCGCATATTTTCACTAATTTACGGAAATTAATATTAAATTAATTTCAGATTGAGTTTTGAAATTTTACTATTATTTGATACATTTTTAACAAACTTTAAATACATAATTCACTGGATATATAATAATAAAGAAAAATAATACCTCTTTTCAATTATCAATAAATTTCACAAAGTTATTTCGATGGCTAATTTACGAAACTCGACTTCGTTTATCTCTTCAAATAAAGCAAAATAATCATATTATACATACATCTAAAGATGTAATTCTAATTTAATATTAATATCTTTTATCAAATTATTCATTTATAATAAAAAAAAAAAAAAATTCATTAGCAAAATTAATTTTATATCTATATATATACAAAATTAATTAATATATATATATATATATATATATATAATTAGACTGTATTAATTTTTCAACAAATTAATAAAAAGTTTACTATAACGTTCTTTCCACATTTAATCCCAATCTTTTTTCTTTATTAATAAATATTATTAAGCTACTCATTGACTTAAATAATTAAAATGTAAACAAGTAGAAAAAGACAAGTTCAGAATTTACGACAAGGATTCAAGTCAAATACATTTCAGTTCAACTTGAGCGATTTATATCATGAAGGGGGTAAGACACGAGAGTAACAGTATGCGTGTGCTATTTTATTTTATTAAAAATCAACATTACCTATTTATCTTCCTTTTTTTCCTTATCTCTTAGAGAATACAAGTTAATATAGAATTCTGCATAAATTATGTATTTTTCATAGGACGTTAGTTAGAAAAGTTAGCCTACATAAATAAACTAAAGCATATAAATTTCTGCCGACTTGTTTCAATTATATTATTGATGTACACTGATCTATAATCATGTAAATGTTTGTAAAATAGTAACTGCAGTCATTTATAGGCAAACAATATTTCTCTTTTTACCATGTATAATGTTATTAATTATATTTAAAAAAAAAAAAAAAAAAAAAAAAAAAAAAAAAACTCTTTATTAATTTTACTTAATAACCTAATATTTAGTTTCATTTTACTCAGAAAATTTAATTAATGCCGAAATTATTGAGAATTTTTATAATTGAACAATGATTGGTATTGTATTAACCTCTTAATATAATATGAAACTACATAATTCGATATGATCAAAAAAATCTAATGCACAAAGTTTCAATCTATTGTATTTGTCATAATGCTCTACATTAGTTGCTAAAAAATAATCTTCGTTTTTAAATTATTCCAAGCTATAATTAATTCGATGGCAAAGTTGACGATGTTAGATGCATCTTATATTACGCATAAGAGTTAATAGGTACAACAAGATAGATTACAAAGTAGAATTCCACGTATGTATGCTTAAAGATAAATAGTTTATGCTAATGTAAAGATGCCATACCATATTTAGTACTTTCCATAATTAATTAGAATTATTGAATAATATGATATTTTAACCTACTGGGCATTAAATTTTCTAATTATTAACAGCAGTTCCATCTTAAAAAATACGTACTTGGTAAGCATTTCTGAATGACTTTTCATTATTGCATCTGACTGGACATTTATAGGAGTGAGAAAAAAAATAATATGAATACCGTACGTATATCGATAAAGATGTTTCTTTTTTTCTGCGGCTGTATAATTAATTAGAAAAGTAGATAGCATTAAATTTAAAAAATAATAATAATAATAATAGTAATAATAATAATAATAAGAAGAAGAAGAAGAAGAAGAAGAAACGACCAAGTGAGGAAAGTGTTAGTTTGTAATCCTGTGCAACAGGAACGTAACAGTATTATTAAATTCATTGATACTTTTGATAAGTAGATCAGTTTAGAAATCGGTGGGACACAATACATTCGAGGTGAAGAGCTAATTAATATCTTTTAATAATTAGCTAGAAAATTAGGTTAATAGAAAGTCATTTTCGTACGGTAAAATAATATATATTAAAAAGAATTTATGTTAATTATTTCCGTGTATATGAGTGGCATCTCCATTTAAATCTTCAAACTACTATAAATTTTTATTTGATTATTTAATGAGAATGTGAAAGTGAAATATGCATTTATTTTGCAAACTACTATATGAATAATACTTACGAGAAATAGTATGCCGCATTTAAATCGATATTTTTAATTGTAAATTTGCATAAATTACATAATTAAGAGCAACGTCTGCTACCTTTGCTACAAAATGTAGGATTAATAAATCAATTGTAATTATGTTGTATTTGATATTCAAATATAAATCATTAACTTCACTAAATTAAATCTTATTAACGCTAATTTCCTGAATTTTTTTATTTCTCGGCATTAACGCTTTTATTATACTTTTTTTTTTTTTTTTATTATAACATGATATTAATATTTCTTACAGTTGACGTTAAAGTATTTTGTTCGATGTACGTCTAAGACAAAATCATTTAAGTTTAACGGAATCGTATTTAATTATAATGACATAAAATACACCTATAATTTCAATAATTTGCGTACATTTATTCTTATAAATACTTTCGAACCGAAAATAAGGGAGTTTGTTAATATTAATCTGATTTTGATAACCATACCTTAGGTATCGTTGAAAATGTCGAGAAATTAAATTGCTCATCATTTCCATTAAATTAACAAAGTTTTTTCATTCTCAAATAATATAATGAATTAAGGGATTTTTTTTCGACCTTCTATTATTCAATCGTAGTTGACTTCCTGCCAGTGGGTAACATAAGATATTTTTTGCTCCGCTTAAACCACAATTCCAAATATTTGCATAAACACTTTTCACCCTTATGATTACATCCACCTTCTCCTATTGTAATTCTGTAGTAATGCCAAACGCGCTTATTCCGATTCGACTATATTGATCCGATTTTTGTTTTGTTTTGTTTTGTTTTGTTTTGTTTTGTTTTGTTTTGTTTTGTTTTGTTTTTCATCTTCAACAAAAATCAATGCTTAAAGCTTTAAGTATATTACGTAGGTGAAAGATCTAACATAGTCTATTATCAACATAGATGATCTACGTAGTTGTGATAGAATTTATAAAAAGAAAAATTAAATAACTTGGACGATAATTTACAAAAATATACTATATGAAAATAGATATATTAATCCATAAGTATTAATAAATTTTTTATGCTTTCAGTAAAATGTCTATATATATATGTGTCGTATATATTTAATAGTAGATGCGATCTTATTTGCAATTTTTGTCTGAAGATATATAGATGAGGACAGAAATTGTGAAGATCAATTACTGGCATAATCTATGTACGAGAAAATTCTGTGTCTAGTCGTTATAAATATTTTCTGATACCATAGTGTTAGTCATTGTATATTTTATCCGATAAATGCAAAATTAGCTGTTATTTTATTATCATTCTCATTTCACCATTTAAATCGTATTCTTGAAGAAATGATAATAAAGAATATCAATAATGAAAGTCTTAATCGCTGTTTTATTATTAATGTATTATATTGATAAATAATTAGTATTTTAATAATAAAGAATTAGAATAGAAATTTCATATACCAGAATATGCCGAGGCGATATATCGAGTTACTTGTACATTCCTTTTAACGTAAATGAAAATTTTATTACTTTCGTTATATTTGTGACAAGTCAGTAAACTTTATTTTATATATAACGTAATTTATTGGAAATCTTACGAATCTCAATAGCATTATTATAAGTGTACATTGATATATGCGTATTGTCAAATACGATTTGTCCAATGTAATAATTTGTTTTTAATTCTACAGAAGGATGCCGCGTATAATGAGCATATAACGATGATTTGAATTCTCAAGTTGGCATAATCGAAGGAATAAATGAACCAATTAAACATAATAGTTTCATAATTATCGCAAATGCGCTTGTATTAAATGCACATGTGTTAACGAATGGTTCTCGGCGGTGAGTTTATTCGCGACGACATCAAAGATGCATCAAAGATCAAAGACGCAAACGAACAAGCAAAACAAACAAAACCGAACTAATAAAAAAAGCCAACAAAAAAAAAAAAGCAAAAAAAAAACAAAAAAAACAAAAAAAAAAAGAAGAAAACAAGGAAGAAGAAAAAAGCAACAAAAAAAAAAGCAAAAAAAAACCAACCAACGTAACTCGTTATATCGGCTCGTCAGGCATAAAGAAACACGGCTGTACAAGCCCTGATTCTTGAAATAGTTAGTTTAGTGCCGCTGATAACAGAAGCGGCTAGTGTTAGTACTAGTAACTCAGCAGTGATGTAGCTTTAATAGAGTAGTAAGTAGTAAAGTGTGGCGGGGGTGTATGTATGTTTGGGGCAGGTTCATCACGGCGTTCCCACAAGGCATAAATCTGGATATGGATCTACGCACGTTGCGCGCAATACGTGTGTTACGACCGCTCAAACTAGTCTCCGGCATACCAAGTGAGTAGAGCGCTTCTGTTTAATCCTGCCAATGCCAGATAATAAATACTATTACGAGTACTGTTCGTTTAATAATTTAGGTTTTCTTATTATTAGTTCCCTTTTTTTCCTTTTTTTTCCCCTAGTTTGTTTTCATGTACATTAAGCACTAGCTCTATTCAATGTTTTTTTCTTTATTTAAATGCTCTTGTTTTTTTTTTTTTTTTTTTTTTTTTTTTTTTTTTTTGGGGTGTGAGATGAGATGAGCGTGAGATGATCTTTAATCGGGGGTATTATAATCTTGAACCATTATCGGTATTAAGATTACGATCGGTATTGAGAACTTATCGTCGTTTTCATTTCTACTGTCATTAAGAAATTATAAATTATGATACTTTTATTATTGAAAATCCGCGGACATACATTCGCAGTTGTGTAAGCCAACAATTTTGAACAATTTTCAACATTTCGATACCTTTTCTTCGTCTTTCGTTCATTATTTCTTTCTTTCTTGATAATTCTTCGTTTATACGGAAGCTCGATTCACGCTTCTTATAGAATATCGATTGGTAAAAAGTTTTCATAAACGCGTTAGCTTTGTTTTTTTCAAACATTCGTGAAAAAAATTGTACGAAAAAAAAAGACACTTTTACGATTTAATCATAATTTGTACGCGAACTATAATTATCGCGACTCTGACATAAAAATTCTAAAAATCGGACGTACTTTTACAGAGACACGTAAATTATAGTATCTAGTAATGTAAATTGGGTGAGCTGAATATTTAAAGCAAAAATATACCGATAACGATTCCCCATTATTAACCGCCAATAGTGAAAATAAAATTGTAAAATTGTATAATTAAAAATCCGCTATGCGAGTGAATTATTTATTTATAGTAAAGAGCTATACGAGTAACATAGTTAGTGTTAAAAATATAGCAAAATGTAATGTAGAATGAGACTGGTAAAGGTGAGAACAAAGATTGAGAGAAGCGTGTTTGGGAGGGGGAGGGGGGGGAGCGATGCTAATCAAGAGATTCGATTGCTCCAAACAGGTCTCCAAGTGGTGCTCAAGTCCATCATCAAGGCGATGGCTCCGCTTTTGCAGATCGGATTACTCGTCTTATTTGCCATCGTTATATTCGCTATCATTGGCCTCGAGTTTTATTCGGGGACCTTGCACAAGACGTGTTACAGCATCGAAAATGCCGGTGAGTATTCATTTATCTCGATAACTATAATTATTTTTCAACATCGGCGTATCCCCCTAACACACGGATCCCGTTTCAATTGATTCGATAATTCACAATTAAATTGCAATCGCATGCACTGGTTGCGCGACACTATCTTTTACGTAATAATGAGCAAGTGATTTCTCACCTGTCACTTAGTTTCATAACTTTTAAAGCGAGCTCAATAAAGAGGCTGAACTTTAATTTAATATCTCCGGTAAAATGTCTTTATACTTTTATAATGCTCATCGTACAAAGCACGAGCAGTGGAAACGTAAGTGACAAGTCAGACGTGCGGCACAAGGCAGATTCGCGTCCCCCGTGAAAGCTAGAAGGTGACGCTCAAGCCACACTCTATTGCTCATAGATCTCATCGTGAAGGACGGCGAACAGCCAAATCCGTGCAACACGGACAACGAATCCGAAGCTCCGGCGGGCGCCCACGTATGCAACGCTAATACCTCGAAGTGTTCCGATCGCTGGGAGGGACCAAACAGTGGCATCACCAGTTTCGACAATATTGGCTTCGCCATGCTCACCGTCTTCCAGTGCATCACCATGGAGGGCTGGACTGCCATATTGTACTGGGTAACGCAAGAAATATGTTCATCAGTGTTAAAAAAAAAAAAAAAATAAAAAAAAATTATAATAATAATAATAAAGAGCGAAAGAGCTGTGCATCTTCCGTCACTGATCTATATTTTCACTTGGCTTTCTTTCTGTCTATGTCTCTTTCTGTGTTTTCGCACATTTTTCAGCCATCGTTACTCTCATTCACGATATCCAAAGAACCTTCCAGCCTGAAATTAATATTAACGACAAGTTAATGTTAATTTCAACGTTAAGTTACAGTAAGTTGTTTGAATTTTTCAAATAATGAACTTTTACCGCCTTTCACCTAAATATGAATTGCGGAATATTCAATCTTTTGTTTTACTATTTCAGCTTTTGCCATTTAAAAGTATCGTATAACTTTTCTCTCTCTCTTTCTCTCTCTCTCTCTCTATATATATATATATATATTAAATATTTGAAAGAAAAAAATTTTTTATGGAAAAAGTTTAATTAGCAATTACGGAATTATTGAGTTAATATTAGATTATCGGGTAATTTCACACTAATTTACTTTATTTAAATCGAAGTACGATATATTGTTTCGAATAAATTTTAATTATATTAAAACTCTCAATTATGAATTGTTTCGTAAATTATTTTAAATTGAGTTTCTTTATATAATATGGCAAATTGATAAAAAGTTAAAATATAAAATATAAATAATATCCTATTCGAGGCTAATTAATATTAAATAAAAATAATCAATATTAATAATTCCAATTGAAACAAAATACACTTGAGACTGCACGATTTATTTGAATTAGTTGAATAATAATTAATTATTTTCTGTTAAAATTCTATATAAAATTCATCACAAAATTATTATTTGATAAATTGACTTTTTTAATAAATCAATATTTCATTTGTAAACTAAAGACATTCCAATTACAGCGATAAAGTAAATAATTTTGATTTTATTTCATATACTAGCCGAAACATTTTGAAATAGACACGCTATAAATAAATTGTGATTAAACTCATTATTTCAATTTATTTAATGCTGAAATTCAAATGATTAAACTAACAGTGGAAGGGAATAATGCTTTTATGTCTATCTGTTTTTATTGTGGCATTTTATTAATATATTTAAGGATTTCAAGATTTCCTTAAGTATTATCTCACATTTTTGTGTATTTCAATATTATTCATATTTTTCACTTTTTCACATTTCAATGTTAATCGTGATGTATATATATATTTTTTTCGTAATAAATATGTGAAGAGATTTCGTGCCTGAAACTTGTTACAGTCTCCCTATATAGCACGATATATATATATATATATATATATTATAACTTTATAAACAATTATAGAATAAATTGCATGTTTAATAAAATAAAGACTATGACTATTTGTATATGTTCGCACTGATACACATATAATATTTAAGCGCATGATCATTTGTATATAAACAATAATTGTTAAATGATGTTAAAATATGAATGCGTTATTTGTCTCTCTATTTGGTTTAACTAAATGTCGAACTACATTCTACAATTATCATTCTCTATGTGTGTAAAATATATTTTCTTTTTTACATTAACAAATATATTATATTCTCCTTATTTCTAAATAGTTGTGTTCATACGGCATATATCAAAAGTCTCATAGATACGTTTGTAAAAAAATCATTCTAAAAAATATCCATTACTAATCATCAACAGAGTTTTTAAAAAAAAATTTATTCATCATTTAACAACGGATAAAAACATTCATTTATTATTAATTATTTGCTTATTATAACAACACTTAACGATCTCAAAATAAGTACACAAGAACATGAATAAGCGACCATTAAAAACTAGTGTATCGTAAGAATCTCCATTACGTACAATGAATAATTGCTACTATTACCAATGAACAGGTTTATCCATTCTCATTGTTGATAGAAAATTTTCAACACTTTCAGGAGGGACATAGATATTATTTACAATATACGGGGTTCAACAGGCACGATTTCATCTTCACATTTGTAATATATATATATATATATATATATATATATATATATACACACACATTTACAGGTTATTTTTTTCATATTGTCATTTGTGTTTAGAACTTGAAATATATCGTTTGATCCTATCTATTTATCGTGATTGGTGCTTTTCTTTATTCTTACGTAATACAATTTATATTCATTCGGCGCAAATGTCCTTTTTATTTTTTTATTTTTTTGTTTTTTTTTTTTGTTTTTTTTTTTTTTTTTTTGTTATCATATAATATATATGCGTTTTATATCTATGCTAACACTGACGTATATATTCACTTTGCTCAGTATGACACTGTCAGTTCCGGTCCTCACTAATATAATTTTATATTTAATTTACACGAATACATATGATTTATATTATATTATATTATATTATATATATTATATAAAATAAATACATGTATTTTATATAAAATGAAAACTCGTCGGTTTATCATTAAAGCGATTTCTTATTATTCACATTAACGAAAAATCACTTGATTTACAACCATTTAAACCAAATTATCGCTATTCTGATAATCCGAGGAGATTCAAAGATGAATGAACTATGCATTCTCTTTCTGTTTTATATGTTTATGTATGCTAATTTCTTTTTGAAACATAAACTGCTTATCCTCTTTAATACAATAATCGATCGTACGTCTTATAAATTTCTATTAATTTTTGGCCTGAAAAATTTTAACTTCAAATGTCATATAAAGAATAAAGTTTAAAATAATCGATAAATTGTAACGTGGAGGATAAGAAGACTACTAATTAGCACAAAACAAAACTTTGTGTTAATATAAAACATTGCCTAATCATATACACTTTCTAATATAAATACATTTTTCCACCAAACAAACAATCTTGCAAAATTAGTTACACAAGATATAAATTTTTATATATAAAGATATAAGATATAAGATATAAATATATTTTATATTTAATCAACACAATTGTTTTTCTGTTTTTTTTTCTTTTTACACTCATTCCTTTTTCTGTACATATTTTTTCATCTTCGCTGATACATATATATATATTTATATTTATACGTATATAATTATCTGTGCATTCGTGATGCTGCATACAACTCATACTGATATGATCCGCTGATTCGTAATTACTCTTTCAAATTAAATTTCACGATAAATTGATTAATTTTATAGACAAATGACGCTCTTGGTAGTACGTTCAACTGGATTTACTTTATACCACTGATAGTCATCGGGTCTTTCTTCATGCTGAATTTAGTTCTCGGTGTGTTAAGCGGGTAAGTTGACATATATATTTAATAATACTCTATTGTACTTCAATACGCTCGTGAGATCATCGACATATTTACCGTCATTCTAAATATTCTAAATATTCATTACTTCACATAGTTAAAAGTATTATGCATTGATGATAATAATATCGAGTCATCATTTAATTGTCTAAATGAAATGAAAATGAAAAAAAGAAAAGAAAGAAAGAGAAAAAGAAAAATAAATAGACAATGAAAGAAAAGAAAAACCCTGAAAAATCTTTCTTAGGGAATTTTCGAATGAGCGAACGCGCGTCGAAAGGCGAGCAGCATATCAAAAAGCAAAAATGAAGCGACTCTTCACCACTGCCTTCAGTTCATATTTAAACTGGATCACTCAAGCAGGTTTTAAATTTATCATTCCCCTAGCTTTTATATAAAATTAGTAGTTTGGTTAGTGTCCTCGTTTAAAAATTTACACAAAGAAAATATTAAAATTAAAAAAATAAAGAAGAAAATTTGTCATTCTCAATTTTTTTTTTTTTTGTTTGTTTTTTTTTTCACTCAATTTCGCTCGGAAAATATTATCTAAAATCTAGCATAGTACAATATTTTTTCGATAATCTATTTGATAATTTTATTCAAATGTGAAAAAACCGCTTTTTCTATTTTAATAATGCACTTTCTCTCCTCTTTAATTTTCAAATTTTATCTACATGCAATTTTTAAGAACATAATATATTAGCCGTCTTTCACCATTAAATTATTTAACTTAGAAAATTATTTTGTTTCAACTATTTTACTTATCTTTCTTTCCTTGCGTCATGTCAAAATTAAAAGATCTATTATTACGTAAGAATTTAAAGCTTCGTTCATGAAAATCGCGAATCTTATGTGAATTAAATAATTAGCAATTTAATAAATTGGTGCACTTTAAAATGGAAAGTATTGAAAATAAAATACTTCTCTCAATAACTTATATAGTCTAGAATTTATAAGACAATTGTGTCATTGTACTTTCATTATCAACATAATTTTTTTTTTTTGTTATTTGTTTAAATAAATCTTTTAAAAGTGCAGTTTTCATTGAACATGAAAAGCTGCTTTCGACAGAGTAAGTAATTACATGTTCGACTAATCCCTTAAATACATAAGAAACTAAACACCTTCGCGGGACACTTAGCCTGTAAAGTATGAAAACTTAGTGAAAGAGCCCTTGAACGTAAGCTAGAAAAAAGCTTTACGATCTTTCTTTCGACTAGATTAATCCAGTAAGCGTTACAAAACTTTACATTCTGTAAACTGCGAGCCTGCATTAATACTAATCTGCAATTTTATCAAACAATTCACGCAAATATCTGCTAAAAGCTAAACATCATATTAATAAAACTCATCTCGTTTATCCCATATAAGTGCAAAAAAAAAAAAAAAAAAATCAAGACTTAAGTCATGCATTTTCTTCATACATGCTTGCTAATGTACGTCACATATTATTTGGTAACGCTTGTAGAGAATTTGCGAAGGAGAGAGAGAAGGTGGAAAATCGACAAACCTTTCTCAAAATGCGAAGACATCAGCAGCTTGAGCGGGAGCTAAATGGCTACGTCGAATGGATCTGTAAAGCAGGTTAGGTGCCGCTAGATTTCGATTAATCCTTCACTTTATCTAAGATTTTCCTCGCCTTAATTTCTTATCGATAAAAGCATTCGAAGGACATGATTTACTACTAATGAAATATCACACCGAACATTCGGAAAGGCAATCTACTATTTTGAAATTAATGTTAAAAATAACGTTGACTATTTATTTGAAACAATCTCAATGTTTATAATTTTCATTTTTTAAAATAATCTTTAAATTTTTATAATACTCAGTTATAAATTGGCATTTGTATTTACTGACATTATATTGCTATGCATTGTTAAATTAATAAATAAATTAATATTATAATTATCGAAATAACAGAATAGTAATTATCATAATTTGTCAATTTTCATTCAATTTTAAGTTGCATAAATTCAATCGAATTATCTGCAATGGATTAATAATAATATAAATTATCTTCTATATTTAAGAATATTAATATTGAAAATTATTAAGTCCTTTTACTCTTTATTGTCTCTACGCTCTGTAAATATACTTAGTTTTCATTGTAGAAGTATTTACTAATTACTTGATAGTAATGTATGTCTAAAAATCTAAAAGTAACTGCTCGCTTGACGACTTTGCTGATTCTTGACGAATTATTCTAATTCAAATCAGACAATTAAAATGTGAATTACATTTTCATAGAGGAAGTCATACTTGCGGAGGAGCGGACGACAGAGGAAGAAAAAATGCACATTATGGAAGGTAATCATAAAATTTATTAATAATCTACATTTTCATGTAAAAACTTTGGAACAATTAACGAAAGAATGATTTATTCTCTAAACGTTTTTATTATCAGCGCGAAGAAAAGCCGAGGCTGCAAAGAGAAAAAAGCTGAAAAATTTAGGCACGAGCAAAAGCACCGATACAGAGGAAGACGAAGGCGAGGATGACCAAGAAGATGGTGAGTTGTATTTTTCCCGTTCGTCTTTCAATTAATAAAAAAAACTTAACTCTATCTTTACATTCTTTTTTTTTCTCCATTTCATATGATGAATATTTTCATTCTCAACTATCACGCGCGCGCGCTCGCACCCGCACACTATATATATATATATATATATATGCGCGCGAGCCTTGTGTTGCGTGTGTTGCGCGTGTCGCGCGTGTGCCTACGTATGTGTGTATGTATGTATACAAAGTGTAAAGTTCTATAAAAAATGAAGTATTTGCATTTTGCGTAAAAGAAACAATTGTCCATTATTAACAATGATTATAATAATATATTCGAATCAGAATATTGATTCCACAGTAATTTTATGAGTCGTGCGAGGACAATGTTTTTGCCAATCCCCATGTCACATTATGTTTTACATGGAAATATGTTGTAATTCCTAAACCATTATCGCCTATCATATCCCTTCAAATTTATCAGAAAACCTTCTAAACACACGCTATCAGATGATCCTCTTGTTTCAGAGCCTAAGAAAAAACTGAAAGGTAACTACAATCCAGGTCATACTACAGTAAATCTATATATATATATATATATATATATATATATATATATATATATATATATATATATATATATATATATATATATATATATATATATATATATATATATATATATATATATATATATATATATATATATATATATTTTTTTTTTATTTTATTTTTTTTTTCTTTAACGTTACAAGTAAAAGCTACATTGTTTTTTCTTTATTGTTTGTGTTATCGTTGACAGTAACGAGTACTATATAGTACTATTAAGCGTATAACATCACTAAAACATTCGCTAATTCTACATCCAAACGTTCTCGCACGCATGTTACAGATAAGTTGATAGATGAAAATTTGTTACTATGGGTATTAAATAACTGAAGATGATACTTTATACGTATTGTTAGGCAATTAAAAAATCTGAATAAATAATAATGTAAGCAATAAAATGATAATGAAAAAAAAAAGAAAGATTTAATTAATTATTAAATCGTTTATTTTTTATTTTTTTGTTTTTAATTTCCTAATGAAAATAATCAATACTAGTGAAGTATTTATGTCTTTCATTTATATTTAATAGAACAGCCTCGTTATCGTCTTGAAAACAACCAAATAATAATCAAACAGCTCTTGCAATAACAAATGAGAAAGCATGCGTGCGAATAAACGGGCAACCCATACCACACATATATACATTATTCTCCTTAAAAGCATTATACATACATATACATTATTTTCCTCAAAAGCAGTAAGCACTACTGCATACATTGTTGTAATTGTACTACGTAATTATGCGCGGTAATTTGAACGTCGCGCCAATGTACTTTGCTGCGATGCTTCTCTACAATAGATAAGTCGAGCGGCCATTATAGTAGCACAGTTAAAACTTTTTTCATTGTTTTCATTTTATCACGGAAAAATAAAGCAAATTAATATTAAAATAAAGCATTGTATATAGATAAAAGAGCACGTGCCGAGTGCGAGTCGATGAACGTGAAAAGTTATGATAGTAGTAATAAATAAGTTAACGTGATAAGTTAATTATGTACGGCACCGCTGGCTTTTAAAAATGAAAAATCAGCACATTTAAGTAAAATGTAATTCGAAATGCCTATAGCTTTAATGACTTTGTATTTGTTCATTTAAAACTATTCTTCATCCAAATTATTAAACGACAATCTTACATCACACATACTACTGTGCTACGGAAAAATAACATTTATAGTTTTAGATTAATTTTTGTAAGCAATAGATGTGATTCTATAAATTAATTGTGTAAAATTTAGATAATATTTAATGAAGCATCGTTTATAATAAAAAATCAGCATATTATTAGATAATAATTATTGTTATTTATTATTTGTTAAGAACCAATAGCTTTTTTTTTTTTTTTATAAATTTTTTTCATTTTTCAAATAGAGTAATTTTAAGTTATTTAGCACTCAACACGTACAATTATGTTTTACGAATCGTACGTACGATACAAATTATTTGACTTTTCATGTATTTATTCTATTATTTATATTGCTGTCCACTCAGTAGTTTATTCTTCATGTTCAATATTTCCAATTTTTCTTTCTTCCTTTTTTAATACTATCGAGAAATAGACAGTTTTTATTTTTTTATTTTTTTTTATTTTTTTATTTTTTTATTTTTTTATTTTTTTTAATTTTATAGTCAATTTTCAACGCGCTATTTCACTTTACATGTAACATACTTTTCATGTTTTTTCTTTATTTTTATTTTACAGAACTTGTTTAATAGTGGTAAAAATATACATATATTTGTATATATAATAATCGATATTTTCTTATGTACTTTTTTGTTGTTAATAAATTACATTACGGCATTAGCTACTGTGATTAGACATTTATAATGTGGATATTTTTTATTCAAATGTCAAATGTTACTGTAAAAATTCATTTGAATTAAAGAGAGTCAATTATTAAATACAAATTTTTATATAATCATAATGAAATTCTTAGTAACGAAATAACCAATAGAATTTGGAAAAAGAAAAAAAAAAACAAACAAAAAAGAAAAGAGAAAAAAAACATGCATATTTTATGTAAAAATTTACATACTTATTGCAGCTCAAACATATAGCTTTCGTATTAAAATTTTAATAAATATATTAACATTTTAATGGCGATAATAAATATTTAACAGTCATAGAAAATGCAATAGAATGTAATTATGTAAAACGCGTTATTATTAAAATGTTGCCTACGACAGAGAATAAAACATATTTGCGAGTACTTTACGTACCAAAAAAGTTCAGTTATCATGATATCCTTAAAATTAAACGACACTAAAACTTAAAAAAAGCTACACTAATTATCACATAAAATTTACGCATCTTTATAAATGTATAAATATATAGAGCAACGAAAAAGCTCGATTCTCCTCCAAATAATAGACTTAGTCAGCGCTGTGATTCGAGTGGACGCTAACTTTATTGTAAAATGATGTACGTGTTATTACATTACATAGTCAGCTATTTTGAGAACTATCCACAGTTGTGTAATTATATTATTCATTAACTAAATATCTAATATTGATCGTAGCTGCGAGTAAGGCAGTTTGTCGCGAAAGGCGAGTGCACTCCTTCTCGAACGTATACAATCTAGTTTCTTCCTTTAGTCTTACTTCTCCTCGAACTTAGAGTTCGAGCGTAATTTAGTTAACACATACATTTAGTGTCACATGATATCGCTTATAAAGTAGAACATACATGCGTGACGTAGTAAAGCAATAGTAATCGTATGGAAAAGTATAAAAGAAGTTGCGTGTGCTAATTAACATTAAACATTAATGCTATTATCTAGTTTCTTGAGTTGTATTTATCAATAATAGTTGACGTTTATATTAAGTATTTATATAAAGGTCTCGGAAGAGAGCAGATTTAATACTAGATTAGTTTAAATATAAATCAGCCGTCCATTGCCTAATATAATCATGCATTATTACGTTTAGCAATGATTTCCTGTAAAACAATGCAAAAGCTACCAGTAGACAGCCTAGTCCTTTCGAAAAAGTCTTTTAGTTATGCTCATATCGAGTGGGATTATAGCCGTGTAAAATGGCATTTGCCGTAAAAATTCATTGACACGATCCTTCAAAGAAACCGACTAACGCATAACTAAGAAATTTTCTTTCATAAGAAAGGCAGCAAGTACCATTCTTAGCTTAGATAATATTATCCCTGCAGCTATGTATAATTATTTAACTTTTCTTTTAATTAATGATTTAATCGATAATCAGCGCTTGGCGCCTAGGCATTCGGCAATTTGGCATAAATTTGAATGGCGTAGCTTCAAAAATTTCATGTAATTCAATTTTTGTAGGATTCTCGAGAGCCTCTTATCTTAAGTCAAAAGTGAAGAACCAAGGCTCGTGCGCTGAATTTTGGCGAAACGAGAAGAGATTTCGATTTTGGATACGACACACGGTGAAGACACAGTGGTTTTACTGGTTTGTCATCGTCCTCGTATTCTTCAATACCGTGTGCGTGGCTGTCGAGCATTACGGCCAGCCCGAATGGCTTACAGAATTTCTTTGTAAGTATACTTTGGCTTGATATTAATAATGAATAATAAATATCGAGTGAGCCTGATGAATAAGTTGGCAAATTAAAGTGATGCGCCTAAGTAATAGAGCATCACGGAATAGTTGATGCGGAAGAATTAAATAATCTCAGCTGTGTGAAAAGTGAACTTTGCACTCGGCTTGATCATTGAATTGAAAGTCTTAAAAACATTATTTCACTTTTGATAGAACATTTCGCATCATACTTCCGACTTTTCATTCGGAGTACATTTCGGGCGCATCATAGTTCATAAAAAGAAAAAGAAAAAAAAAAAGAAAAGATGAAAAAAAAAAAATATATATATATATATATATATATATACAAAACAACAACAAAACAACAACAACAAAAAACAAAAACAAAAAAAAACAAAAACAAAAATAAAAAATAAAAAGAAAATTAATTGCTTAATTGAAAAGTAATTGCTACATTCACTATGTATTTACAGTTTACACCGAGTTTGTGTTTCTGGGCCTCTTCATGTGCGAGATGGTAATAAAGATGTATGCCCTTGGTCCACGTATATACTTCGAGTCGAGCTTCAACCGCTTCGACTGCGTGGTGATTTCGGGCTCGATTTTCGAGGTGATCTGGTCGGCAGTGAAATCCGGCTCCTTTGGTCTCTCCGTTCTCCGTGCCCTTCGACTTTTGAGGATTTTCAAAGTCACCAAATATTGGTCGAGTTTGAGGAATCTCGTGATTTCTCTCCTCAATTCAATGCGCAGCATCATTTCGCTCCTCTTCCTGCTCTTCCTCTTTATTCTCATATTCGCTCTACTTGGCATGCAGCTCTTCGGTGGTCAGTTCAACTTCGAAAGTGGCACGCCACCCACGAACTTCAACACCTTTCCCATCGCACTTCTCACTGTCTTCCAAGTAAGTTACCGCCAGGCCACCATTAACTTTCTAAACGAGGGAGGCACGAGTGACACGTTAACAACTATCGAACAATTGGAAAAGATATTTTGCTTTATTAGTCATTTCCTTCCTGCGCTCGCGCAACTTAATTAAACAGACGCGAATACAATTGCCGCTACATTTAACGACTGTCTAATAATGCTTATTTAACTTTTCCCGATAGATATTGACTGGTGAAGATTGGAACGAAGTTATGTATCAAGGTATCCAGTCACAAGGTGGTCACAAAAAGGGCATGATTTATTCGCTTTACTTCATCGTCCTGGTGCTCTTCGGTAACTACACATTGCTGAATGTTTTCTTGGCTATCGCCGTCGATAATTTGGCGAACGCGCAAGAACTTACAGCAGCCGAAGAGGAACAGGAAGAAGAAGATAAGGAGAAACAAATACAAGAGCTTGAGAAGGAAATGGAGTCCTTACAAAAGCCTAACGATGGTAGCGCACCTAAAGTGGAAATTAGTCCTCCAAGTCCAACGGCAAATTTGTAAGCCCATGAATTCCTTGTTATTTCTTAATTGATATAATTGATGTAATAATGGGAATTCGTCTGGAATTTTTTCTCATTATAGCAAAGGCGGAAAAGGCGGTAAGCAGGCGTCTGAAGAGAAAAAACAAGACGACGAAGATGATTCGGGACCAAAACCAATGCTGCCATACTCGTCGATGTTTATATTGTCCCCTACTAATCCGTAAATATAATTATTACGATTATATGAGAGAATAGTTTTTTTTTACAATATTATCTCACATTATTTCAGTATCTTATATTTTTAAATTGTTTTTTTTGTTGTTGTTTTTTGTTGTTGTTGTTGTTGTTGTTGTTTTTTTTGTTTTTTTTTGGTTTTTTTTGTTTTGTTTTGTTTTGTTTTGTTTACTTATTATTCCTCATCCTCTGAGCTCAATCATGATAATTCGAAAAATTTATTGTTAAAATTCGATAAAGTGGGTGAATTTACACCATTATCGATTGTTGAGCTGAATCGTTAATATTATTAGAATAATGTGCCGTTGCGGCAGATAATTATTCATTAATTTTTTGAAAATGTGATCGTTTGCTTTTAGTGTGCGGAGAGGCGCTCATTGGGTCGTCAATCTACGATATTTTGATTTCTTCATTATGGTCGTCATATCGTTATCCAGCATAGCGCTCGCAGCCGAAGATCCCGTAAATGACTCGAATCCCCGGAACACTATATTGAATTACTTTGACTATGCATTTACGGGAGTCTTCACCATCGAGATGATCCTGAAGATAATCGATCTTGGCGTGATTCTCCATCCAGGCTCGTATTTGCGCGAGTTTTGGAACTTTATGGACGCTATTGTTGTTGTATGTGCCGCGGTCTCGTTCGCCTTTGACATGACAAGTGGCGATGGTGGCGGTTCCGCGAGCAAAAACCTTTCGACTATTAAATCGCTCCGTGTGCTTCGAGTGCTCAGACCCCTCAAGACTATCAAGCGAGTCCCAAAACTTAAAGCGGTATTCGATTGTGTGGTGAACAGTTTGAAAAACGTCATCAATATTCTCATAGTATATATATTGTTTCAATTTATATTCGCTGTTATTGCGGTGCAGCTGTTTAATGGGAAATTCTTCTACTGTACGGACGACAGCAAGTACACGAAGGAGGACTGCCAGTGAGTAATAATCCCATTAGCTCGTTTCATCGTTATGCCCGCCAAGTCAATGTGCCTTTATGACAGGAAATGCGTTTGACGAAACAGAGTGAAATTAACGATGGACAATCGATAATCACGATGTGATTAGTATTTTTCAAATTAATAAAATTTTCATAGGCAATGGCTCCAATTAAAAGAAAGATGTCAAACTAGACGTAATAAGATAGTTTAAATTACCAGAGATTTAAGCTTCGTTTATGTTTCTTGGGGTGGGGGGTGGGGGTGGGGACGGATGGATG